CTTCTTTGCCCCCCCCCCCCCGATTAATCACTGAGACTGGGAGACAACAGAGACTGTGCAAGGGAGGGTAGCTTCTCCTCACCTCCCTTGAGGGCTTATGATGAAAATGGCTCAGTAGGCTGTGACCCTTGCCTCTAGAGAGAGAAGGGCTACATGGAGGGTCATAGTGAGCCTTCGAGGCTAGCGAAATCTGCCAGGAAACGTGGGACCCATGGAGACTAGGACAGAACTTTGTCACAGTCCTTAGTGGTCTAATCCAGTTTGCCAGGAGTGGTAAACTGTACTAATGTCCCATATGTTACCTCCAATGAGTGAGAGAAAGAGGAAGGATTTTTATAGCATAAACAAAATGTTCGTAAATCTGTGTTACTTGCAGAAGTCTCATCAGGGTGTAGTTGCATCGTTTACTAAATTTGCTTATGGAGCCTGAAGAGCTGTTTGTTTGTGGAGCCAACAACAGAGCTGTTTGGTTTTTAGAGGTTATTTGCAGATAGGGTTGTCCTAATGCAGTAGTTCTCAAACTTTTTAAAGCTGACACCCCTCCATCCCTTTCAAGAAAATGAAACCAATCCCATCTTTCTTTAACCCTGCCATGATTTCTCAAAGGCCTATTCAGAATTAGCAGACACTTGGAGTAGATTGTGTAGCTTGTCATAATATGATACTTCTACTTCTTCTTTACACTCTTTGATGAGCAATGAAATAGCTAACAATGCTGACATTTAAAGCATCATCACTGGCATTCCAGTGTGCACCCACTGAGATGCAAGACTCAGTGTGCATCTCAGCGATATTGTTTCAGGCTCTCTGCAAACTCAGGCAAACATTGTTGCCTTGGTTACATTTGGTTCATGTTTGTAAGGTTTTCTTTGCCATCATAACCGCTAGAGAGACTAAGGGCTTGTCTACACAGGGAAATTTACTGGCATTACTATACCGGTATAAGTATACTGACTGTTATTCCAAATAAGAATGTCCATAAGGGCAATTATACTGCTGTAACTATAGTGGGATAATTATACTGGTATAGAAATGATGGTAAATATCCCTCTGTAGACAAGCCCTTCCTTTCTTTCTAAAAGAAATCTGTGACTCTAGAGAACAATTGAGAGCTCTGGCCGTGCTCCCTTCCCTGTGGCTTGTCCTTCATGCACCCAGAGGTTGCAAGCCATCTTTTAAGAAGTGCTGTCATTGGATTGCTGAAGTCCACTTGTGCGCTGCCTAGAATGCTGCTTGGGGGACAGAGATTATTTGTGCAGCTGGGATAAGAGAAATGATGAATGGTAGAGGAATGCCGGTTGTGACTATTTTACAGTGATTATTGTGGGTTTCTCTGTTCTGATTAGGACTTTTCATGAAAGATACAATAATAATTCAGGTATTTACAAGAACTGCAAAGTTTGAAGGTCTTTTGAATCACACTTAAAATATTTGGTGAGTCAATAAAAAAAATTAACTGGCTTAAAACAATGAATGAATATTTTTGTGGATAATGCTGCAGTGAGGCAAGCTGGGATAACAGTACAGTGAATCAGATCTCATGCTGCATGGTATAAACTGTACACATGGTGGTGTTATTACTTAACATTTATATTATGGAAGGACTAACGGCCATTGTGCTAAGTGCTGTACAAACTACATATAATACATGATAGTCCCTGTATAACTGTCCTTTGAAGCATCAGGTATTGACTAGAATAAGGCTGAGCATCATTTGTTAGTGCAATAGTTTGATAAAGGCCTGGCAAGTCCTGTATAAATCAAAAGACTGCCAACATATTACTCATCCTGTTGAAAAATGTTGTCTGTGAGTGACCGCACTCTCTGCCCTTGTCATCTGGACTGAAGCTGAATGACGCTCCTTGTATTTTGCCTTGATTACTTTTTCATAGGCTTTTAGAGAACAGCTAGGTTCCAGTACCTCTCCCTCTTGGCTTTGCTACAGTCCAACAGTAGAATAAAAGTCTGATACTAACCTATAAGGACCAAGTTCCTAAAGAAATTTTGCATACTTTTTGAGATACTCATATATTAGTTTATTTAAAAACTGAGCAAAATATTACATCTCCTTTCTGTGTCCTGCATAACAGTAACAAACAAACAATAATAATGGGTCAGATCCTGAAGTCCTTACTCAGCTTTTACTTAGTCTAATTCACCATAAACTGGACATTTTTTTCCATTAAAAATTCACCCTTCCCTTTACCATTAAAAAAAGTATGGGAAAACCTATAACCTTAAAACTGAGATGTATGTAGATTATCTATCAGTCACAAGTGGCTGTTTGTAATACGCAATAAACTGAGTCCCAGAGAGAAAATTCCACATCAGTTTAAGCTTTCCCCTAATTTTATGAGGGAGAGAGGGGTGGATTGGGGGGACAAGCTGGCAATGCAGAAGAGAGGAACCTGCATATGTCATTGATGGTTAGTGTTGACTGGTATTTGCATTGCAATTTGTTACATAGTCATGTCTTAGGACTATATATACGATTATGGGTGAAAATATGTCTGACTGTGTGTGTGTGTGTGTGTGAGTGTAATGCATCATCTAGTTCTATATGTGTGTGTGAATAATCTCTCTCTATATTCTTAGTAAAAACTTTAGGATTTGGCCTAGTAATGGGAAACATTTTTTATGGAGGAAAATGGTAGAGTTATGGCCAAAGTGTGTGTGTGAGAGAGAGTGGAGGTTTGTTTGTTTTTTGTTTTTGTTTTGGGGGGTGGGGTTGGGGAGGTTTGCTATTATTATTTAGCCACATCCGGAAAGCCTTACTTAGTTTTTACTGTGTGTGTTTATAGCATAATAATTTCTGATATATTTGCAGACATGCTATGGACCAGGAGAGTGTGTGTGTGTGTGTGTGTGTGTGTGTGTGTGTGTGTGTGTCACATATTATATGTACATACATATGTATAAAGGCCGTAAAATGCGACTGTGACAAAATCTATAAAGCAAACTCTGGCGAACCCCAGCCATCAGTGATGTATGCTGTTTTCCTGAGTTCTGCTTTGCCAGCTACCCTTTTATTCCTCTTTTGCCAAAACAGAATTAGAACAAAGCCTGAGTTGCTGCAATGGAATATTTTCTATTGGACGTGGGTTAATGGGCATAAAAAACAACCACTCCATGTTACTTTCCACATGTATGTCTGCAAATCTTAGGCCACAAGAAGGGTTAACAGGGTCTGAAGAACCATGACTGAGGCTGGTGATGGAGTTAATGAATCCCCTTCTATTTGTTTATGCATACTGCCAAGTTGTTCAATTTTTTTTTTCTTTCCCCCGGCCTCTGGCCAGAGTCAGTGCATGTTTGTTTTAGCTGCAGTAACTTTTTCCATGGGCTCTGCTGACTACTCAGTATAATATCCTCTCAGAATCTCTGACTCCATTGCAAAGACAAGGTCTGAACTTTCAGATCTCTTAATTCAAATCCATACTCAGATCTACCACTTCTGCAAAGTGTTACATAGTTTAAAAATAAAAAAAAACGAGAGAGGCAGAAAAGAGCTAAGGGAAACCATTTCTCTCTACTCCACCCCCACCTGACTTTGCTGTGCCTTCCACTCCACCTCTCTTTGTGCCCTTCTCCCAAGGCACCGTCTCCAGTGTTACCAGCTCTGACTGTTCAAAAGTCATGAATCAGGTCTAAAAAATCATGAGCTTTTAAGACTAAACACAAGGTTTTCTTTGCATTCTGATTTCTGAGGCTTTAAGGGTTCACTTTTCTCCCGAACTATGAAGACTTGCCCATCTATATAAAAGGAAAGCCAAGTGCTCTACATGTTGACTTAACTACAGTAACTGGGCTTGAAGAAGAACCCTATTGATCGTGAGACTCATGGTAAAATCTAGGGACCTGTCAAGTAGGTCTCCTAGCTTGCTGCCCAGTAGTGCATGCATCAACTGTTGGATAATGTCATTCTGTACCAAAAATCACACCTTTGTTTCTTTGTGTTTGTAACACCTTACATCCAATGAAGTGACTTGTTTCAAAACAAACAAAAAAACCCACTGCAACTCCCACCTGAGCCCGTTACACAGTTACTGTCTTCTGTACTTCTGGGATGAAATCTGGACTCAGCTGAATGGTAGCATTTTACACCCATTTTACCTTCACTTTGTACTCAGTCCCTTTCTAGTTCACACCCCACTGAGTTTTAATTTCAGTGCTTGAGGCTCAAAATGAAACGTGGCCAAAATCACAAACTTCAACTTTGTTTTCATGTCTAGAAACTGCAGATTTCAATGCAAAATGAATGAATGAATAAATAAATAAATAATCACAAATTGATCCTTGTGCACCTTAACCTCACCCTAGAGAAGGTTCACAGAACTTCCAACCAAATTCCCAGATTCAAACAGCCTCAAACTTTTGGAAAACTTAGCTATGGTTCTGAAATTTGACCTATGAGTATTGTTGCCAATGCTGGCTCAAATTTCTAATAGGAGACAGATCCCAGAACCAGACAACTGTGTGGATTTGGGTTTTATGAGTGTGTATATTTTGCACAGTTTTAAATATACGAGATAAAAAACATTAGTACACATTAATTTTTATATGCACAATGGTAGCAGATCGAGGCCTCTGCATTAGGATCTCATTGCTCTAGGGGCTGTACCACTATATCTGCTTAAATGAATTTAACTTGCCACAGTACCTATAGTGGAGCCAATGCATCACAATAGAAATTTCAGTCCCATAGAGAGTGCAGCAAAGCAGCCCTTGTGAGCAGCCATAGTGGGACAAACACATAGTTATGCTACATATCTAAATCCGCTCTGAAAGGGTTTTCAGTGCCAGGAGGAAGAGGAATAGTCTACTGGGAATCCAGCAAGAGCCAACAGTAAATGTAATTCTGATTTTAAATGGTTAAGCATGACTTCAAAATATATGTATGACAGGAGTCTCAGGATAAATGTCACTGGGACTTCTTGTTTTTTAATACACCTTCAGAAACTAAACAAAGCAATTGAGTTCAGTGGGTCTCTCAGGAAAAGACCAGTCACTTCCTGAGCAATAATCTGCCTGTTAGCAGCAGATAGATTCTCATTGTTTGCCACTTCCACTTTCCAGTAATGAGAACGATTACTTGACCAATATCTAGCCAGTTTCTGCCGAAGTTCTGGAAAAACCTACAGCTTTTCATAGCAAAGTTGCATTATTGGTTTCTTTCCAAAAATCAAAACTTCTGTGATGCTTTAGGACTGCAAGGCATAACCAACCAGAGCTGATGATCATTTTATTCTGTAACTAGGTGACTGCTCTCCAACGACAAGATGTATTTTGCTGTGCTGGTGATTCTCTTACACTGTAAGTTCACTGTTTAAATATTTGCATGCGTTTTTTTATGTTGTCCTAGTATGTATGTTTTGATCAACCTGAAACAAACATTTTTCAGAATTCTCTGTCATGAAGAATTTCCAATTTTTTGCATTTTGTCCTTAAGCTCAGTCTTTAAGCTTTGAATATAATATTTCTTCTCACTTTTCCAGGTCCAAGTTTAAAAGCTCAAGATAGTGGTGAGTTGTGCCCTTTCTTCTAAAATTCTTGATATGCCAAAGACTTAATTCTGCTCTGGTCTCAGTTACTGTGGTGTGGATCCACAGTGGAGTTTCTCTGGATTTGCAGGGGTATAACTCGAGAGCAGAATTTGACCCATGTAAAATGATTTAACTTGAAGTCCACTTTTGTTTAAAAAATGCCACAAAATGTGCATGGATGGTCAGTTAGAAACAGAATCCCGTCCAGACATCTTGGGTAAAATCCTGACTCCTCTGAAGTCAGTGGGGGTTTTTGTAGGATTAATTATTATTTAAGATTCCATATTGCAATGATAAATGTTCAATGTGAGTAAACAATGTTGGTAATGTGCAATATACAAAGTTTTCAAACATCTTCATTTAGTCTTTAACCCAAAATATTGGTAAAAAGGACCCTGATGGACAGTGTTTGCTCCTGCAAACTGTGTTTCAATCAGCAGTGTGCAGCCAATATTTTTTCCTTTCCTCCCCCCAGTAAATCTCATTTGACAGGGTTCACAAAAGAAGGGATGGAATGGGGAATCTAGTTACTAGTGCTGTCATATTTAAACAAAGCCGCTCTCTTGTCCCCATAACCCAGAAGGGAGGAGAGACCATTTGGTAGATGTAAATTAAGGGCACTTGCTGGATGTATTTACCCTTTGTTCTGCAAAATATCCAGAGAGTACTGAAAGTTCAGCATGATGTTGAAACAGTGTCCTTTTGAAACTAGGGCGAAGCAAGTGATTTCCTTTTCCCCATTCTCCCTCCCTTATGCTGGGAAATAAGCATTCGAATACAAAAAACATTTCAGAGGCCTTTTCATGAATGCCAAGGCAAAGCTATTTCTGGCTAGGAGGATTTACAAGTAAACAGGGAGGGGGCAACTCCACCAGAGGCAGGGAAACTGTCCCACCGCATCTTTCATTTTGGTGGTTGAATGTGAACAAAGGTTCTCAGGAGCTCCCTCTAGCTAATTGGTAATTTAAATTCTGAGCAATCTGGGCGTAGCCACCAGCCGTTAATTTTAGGATGAGTGAAAGCAAACAAAGCCCATAAACTTGTTTTCCTTGACTTGTTTATAGCTACATGAATAAGACTTATTGCTAATAATGTAAAAAGAAAGGGAGGACTTGTGGCACCTTAGAGACTAACAAATTTATTAGAGCATAAGCTTTCGTGAGCTACAGCTCACTTCATCGGATGCATCAAGTGAGCTGTAGCTCACAAAAGCTTATGCCCAAATAAATTTGTTAGACTCTAAGGTTCCACAAGTACTCCTGTTCTTTTTATGGATACAGACTAACACGGCTGAGACTCTGAAACCAGCTCATAATGTATAATTTTTGAGGTGATAAAGGAATAAATATTTCTTTATTAAATAAGTACTTTGATGCCATTTAAAAAAAAAAACTGGTCTGGTATTACCTTGCCATCTGTTGGAAAATTGTAACAATGATCCAATGGATCTGGATGGAATTTTTCATATTAAGAGGCAAGAGTATATTTATTAATAACAAAGATATATTTACAGGGCCAGATTCTTCTGTTCTTATTTACCCTTCTTTTAATGGGGAGTTCTGCTTAAAAAATCATAGTACCATATGGTCCAAAAGGGTTTGAGTCAGCAAAATCCATAAGCATGTGCTTAACTTTAAATCCCTTGAAACACATGCTCAAGTGTCACTGAAGTCAGAATGGGTGAGAATCAATCTTGATATAATCCCATTGAAGTCAGTAGAGTTACACCAAGGATTAATTTGACCCATTGCGTGCAGGTACTATGCAGTTTTCCCTGATTAATTGTAGTTCTGACGTGCGTTATTTCTCTGCAGTATTCTGGACCTCGACTGTTCCTAAGCAGAGGCTTGTGTACAGCAATGGGAGATTTGGCTAGGCAAGGGTTTCAGGATCAGGCCCTCAATTTGTACATTTTGAAAAGCAGTATTTACTAGAACATTTTTGCCACGCTGGAGTGCATAAGAGTTTAACATAATAGCAGACCTAGTATAAAACAGCAGGAGATGAGCTATGCAGAGTTTGCCTGATTGAGGCTTGTGAGATATGGAAGCAGATTGAATCTTCAGTCATGAGCTCCTTAGTCCTATTTGGGCCACCAGAAAACTGGGAAATTGTGTGAGAAACTGTAATTATTTCCTGCAGGAAAAAAATGAAAGAGAAATAATTGGGGAAAACTATCTTGCAATGATGGGTTTTAACTGTTCCTTTGCTGTTCACCAAGAAAGAGACCTACATTTAAATCTGAATATTGTGACATCAACTAACAAAACTCTGGAAAATGAGATACTTGACCGTGTTGCTGCTTTACGTGGCTATGTGATAAAAGAGACACAGTTGAAGAATTGGCCGTATGTGTTTGTGGCTGGTCTTTCAGGGAAGGGAAGATAGATAAAGCCAGATCTTCCAACTTTTGCTCCTGAAGCCAGATCTTCCAACTTTTGGTCCCACTGATTTCAGTGAGATGATTTTCACAGGTAAGGACAACTTGTGTGAGTAAATCTATAGAATCAGGCCCATCATTGATGGAAGAATTCTTCCATTGACCTTATATAGAGACCTCGACTTTGTCATTGTAAGTCTTGCCCTTTTATATACATGTATAATGGGATTTTCTGAGTGACACACCTTAACTCTATATAAGGACCATAATTTCTCCCAACTTGGGTAAGTAAAGCCCAATGTTTGGACAGTTAGAAGTTCAATAGCTCAGGACAATTTGAGTAACATGGACAACACACATCCACATGCCTATGGTTACATGTTCACTAGAAACCCTGTAGTGCTTCAGTGTAGAAACTCACTACAGCAATGAGAGGAGTACTGGAGCCCACTCCTGCGACCAGGTTCTTCTGTCACTGAAGTTAATCCACCTCCCCAACAGGTGGTAGCTAAGTCAGTGGAAGAATTCTTCCATCACTCTAGCACTGTCTACAATGGGGGCTAGGTTGGCTTACCGATGTCACTCGGAAGTGCAGACTTTCCACATCCTTGAGTGATGTAGCTGGGTTGACCTAACATTTTTAGTGTAGAACTGGCCTACATTTATTCACGTGAGTAGTCCCATTGAGTGCTATTGGCCTGCTCAGATGTGTAAGGTTACTCAAGTGCAGACGGGTTTGCAGAATGGGAGCCCTGAGTAACCGTTATCTGAGAGGACAAAGTAAAAGTATAGAATTTCACAGAGTCTCCCTAAAATTCAGAGCTTTTGATCCTGAAAAAGCTCCCTGAAAAATTATGCTGAATCCGACATTCATGTTAAAAAACCCTAAACAATAATATACATTCAGAAATAAAACTGTATTTAGCTGGCTGTAATGATGGGCCTGATTCTATAGATTTACTCACATAAGTTGTCCTTACCTGTGAAAATCATCTCACTGAAATCAGTGGGGCCACTCATGTAGGGTCAGGACTACTCACAGGAGCAAAAGTTGGAAGATCAGGCTTTATTTATCTTCCCTTTCCTGAAAGACCAGCCTCAAATGGCAGTACAGAAAATACAACCAACGCTTCAACTGTGTCTCCAGTCACTGTGTATCTTTTATCATGCAGCCAGGTAAAGCAGATAAAAGAACCTGCAATAACTCCTGGGACTTCTGCTAAATTACTCCAGCGATCAATTTGGTCCAAGGCCTACAGGGTTAGATACAGCAGCACATTGGGCTGCTCTGCAATTTTCCATTTACCCAGATAAGTATAATGGTTGGCTTTTCCTCTCTTGCTGAAACTCCCTTGCTAGCGGACTTGGAAACAATGAATCATGAGAGATAAGCAGACCAGAACAAGTCAGCTGCAGCATAGGCGCCGACTTTCCTTCTTTCCCTTGGGCGCTTGACCCCACTCTGCCCCTGGCCCCACCCCCACTCCACCCCTTCTCCAAAGTCCCCGCCCCAACTCCACCCCCTCCCTATCCCTATTCAAACTCCTTCCCCAAATCCCCACCCCTGCCTCTTCCTTGCCTCCTCCCCTGAGTGCGCCACATTCCTGCTCCTCCCCCTCCCTCCCAGAGCATGCTAATGCTGCCAAACCGCTGTTTGGTGGTGGCTGGGCAGGAAGTGCTGGGAGGTAGGCAAAGGAGCGGGGACATGGCACGCTCGGGAGAGGAGGAGGTGGGGTGGGGGGTGAGAGGAGCTTGGCTGCCGGTGGGTGCAGAGGACCCATTGATTTTTCCCGTGGGTGCTCCAGGGCTAGAGCACCCACGGAGTTGGCACCTATGAGCTGCAGGCCCATTTAGCTATCTCTATCCTCCCAGTTCTAGTACACACATTTCTCATCCTACTGCAGAGAGAATGGAAATTCAGTAGAGCTGGGTCAAGCAAACTGGGTTTTCCTTTTGCAAAACCCCATCCATTGGGGGTTTTGTTCTGCAAATCCCAATCAAGAGGTGTTTGCAACTAAGTTCCATTTCATCTAAGCTCCCCAGGTTCGAGTGTGTGTATGTATGTTTGAAGGGATACACAAATGTGATTTAAAATGTCTAGTTTTCCCCAATATCTAAAATTCAGTGACCTCAGGAAAGATTTTCCTGTGGTCAAGTTTCTAGGAGAACAGCTGTCTCTGGAAATTGGAGATGAGTAGTTCATGGCAGCCCAGAAAGGCTACAATGAACTTCAGAGGGAAACAACTGTTTTTTGGGGTGAAGAATTCCCTGTTCTCTTAACCTCACCTCTTTCTCCTCTTTAAGGGGGTAGCACTTGAGATGACTCTATGGACAGATGAAAAAAAGGTGTTTGAAAAGTTTGGTGTTTCACTTTGCTGTGAATACAGAGGTTGGATGCAAAGGGCCCAGTCCTGCTCTTGTTTGAAATAAATAGCAAAATTTCCCTTTAGCTCAATAGGGCAGACAAAGCTCTGAAATATTTCATACTAACCCCTTATGCACTGTGCTGCGAACTTCTTTAGTCACCACATTTCTTTTCTTGCTGTTTCTTTTTCTCATTTCTTTTCTTTTCTCTCCCATCTTTGCTTAGCACTGCCTATAGTCTTCGCTTTTGTTCTCTGCCTGAGAATAATTCACTCCAGAGCAGAGCAGCAGCACAAGTTTATGCACCATTCAAGTAGGACTTAAATGGTGCATAGAGACCTTGCTGTGACTCTTGGCATAGGGGTGGATCCCACATGATCTTGCCTTTTTTAACTATAACTGATACGAAAGAGCATTCTCTTTATTTAGGCATTATTAGAATCTGTTGCAGGCTGACCTGCTTCCCCAAGTTGAAACAGAATTTCAGGAAATCCCACCCACTAGGAGGTGGGATATCCTGGAGCGCTGAATTAACTCTGAGGATTCAACAGGTGGGCCAGCATGGGTTGTATTTAGGTCACATGACTTTTCAAACTGTAGTGACAACAACTGTGTTAAAACACAATTGGTGCCAGAATGGTTCCTACGTGGTTCCTCTGACCAGTGTGGACAGGAATCTGAGCAGTATGTTAAAACTAGGGCTTTGCAAAATATTCACAGCAAAAGGCAAATGTGCTCAAAATTGCATTTCCCCCTCCCTGCTCTCCATTTCATCTTGTAATTAAAAAAAAAAAATCACTTCGTTGTACAGATGTGTTGCTTGAAAATGAAAACTTTTTTCTAGATGGGAGGGGAGCCTTGAGCATCAACCACAAAAATCCTTAAACAACAGGATTGAGAGGTGGGCTAAAATAGTACAGTATAATCCCAGTTATCCTAAAAGCCTGGTGGACATCCAAAAGTTTTAGATAACCAGGATCCAGATAAATAGAAGTGCTATTAACTAGCATGGGGCTACATGGGGGGAACATTGTGGATTCAGATAATGAGGATTTTGAAAAAAGGGAATTCCGATAACTGGAATTATATTTCAGAGTAACAGCCGTGTTAGTCTGTATTCGCAAAAAGAAAAGGAGTACTTGTGGCACCTTAGAGACTAACCAATTTATTTGAGCATAAGCTTTCGTGAGCTACAGCTCACTTCATCGGATGCATACTGTGTCTTCTGCAGTTTCCACAGTATGCATCCGATGAAGTGAGCTGTAGCTCGTGAAAGCTTATGCTCAAATAAATTGGTTAGTCTCTAAGGTGCCACAAGTACTCCTTTTCTTTTTGGAATTATATTGTATTTGTATTGGGGTAGCACCGACATATCCAATCCGGGCTTCATAGTGCAAGGCATGATACAAATATAGACTCTGATTCTGCAATCACATGCATCTTTTCATCTGCTGGGAGATTGTTTGTGTGGATTTAATTGCAGGCTCAGGGCCAGAAAGTAGGACAGTGCCTGTCTCACAGAGCTCTCAGCCTTTAGCAACTGCAATGAGCATTATGTAGCAACTTCAGAGAACAACACTGCTTTGGATAAATTGAAACTAAATGTGACTTTTTCCTTCCGTTCCCTGTCAAGTTATTACCATCAACAAAGTTGAACTCACTGTGCCATCCCAAAAGGTGAAGAATGGAATGTCAATTGAACTCACCTGTATTGTGGACATTAGCAAAAGCGCCAGTTTCTGGATGCAGCATGCTTTTTTATTTTACAAGGATGACAGTCTTCTGTATAATACCACATCGGAGCAAGACAGAGCACATTACAAAATATTTCCAGCTCGATTTGCAGATTCGGGAAGCTATAAGTGCTCTGTGAAGGCAAACGGGAAGATTAAAAGCAGCGATGATTTGGATGTTCAAGTTGAGGGTAGGTATCTCTTCAGCCATGGTCGTCTTCTTTGTTACAAAAAGCAGAATAGATTATGTTCTACTCAATCCATGTACATTAATAATAATACTCTAGTGCTTTTCATCCAAAGGTCTCAAAATGCGTTTCAAAGGAGGGCAGTATCAGTAAAATGAGGATAAGCTGAGGCACGGGGTGGGGGAAGTGACTGGCCCAAGATCACTCAGCAGGCCAGTGGCAGATCCTCATTCCAATTCCTAAAGAACAGATCCTTATGTCATACAAAGCAAAAAAAATCATCCTGCAGCTGGTACTAATTGGCATCTGGGGGGCAGTTTCTTTTCCCTCCTCACCCCTTATGAGGACAGGGAGCATATGCATATCCCTGTCTCCTTCCCCAACATTCCTTGTTCTGGCCTACCATTTCATATTGTCCCTCTTGGAATGGCAACCCCTAGAAAGCCTGGGTCCAGGGCTGTAGTGGGCCGGTAGCCTGCCTTAAAGGAAGAAAGAAAAGGAGTACTTGTGGCACCTTAGAGACTAACCAATTTATTTGAGCATGAGCTTTCGTGAGCTACAGCTCACTTCATCAGATGTTGTAATTAAAAAAAAAAACATCAAACATCTGATGAAGTGAGCTGTAGCTCACGAAAGCTCATGCTCAAATAAATTGGTTAGTCTCTAAGGTGCCACAAGTACTCCTTTTCTTTTTGCGAATACAGACTAACACGGCTATTCCTCTGAAACCTGCCTTAAAGGAGTGGCTCTCAACCTTTCCAGACTTCATCCCCCTTTCAGGAGTCTGATTTGTCTTTTGTACCCCCAAGTTTCACTTCACTTAAAAAGAACTTGCTTACAAAATCAGAGATAAAAATACAAATGAGTCACAGCATACTAGTACTGACAAATTGCTCCCTTTCTCATTTTTATCATACAATTATAAAATGAATCAATTGGAATATAAATATTGTACTTTAATTTCTGTGTATAGAGCAGTATAAACAAGTAACTGTCTGAAAATTTTAGTTTGTCCTGATTTCGCTAGTGCTTTTTCTGTAGCCTGTTGTAAAACTAGAGCAATATCTAGATGAGTTGATGTATCCCCTGGAAGATCTCAGCAAACTCCCAGGGGTACATGTCCGTCCCCCTGGTTGAGAACAACTCCCTTAAAGGACCAGTACCCCCAGTTCCAATATCCAAATGGGGAAATCAAGTTTTCCCTGTTGCTTGTTCCAGTGCAGGAGCTGGAAACATTGATGAAGGAGGGTGACCTTCATGCTTTAAACATGGTGCCATTACTGAGAGCAGCACTTCCAAAGGGCTCCAGTCCAGGCTGATGCTACCATGGTTCTTGCTTAATACAGGGATGGGGGTACAGGAGTGGAGACATTTCTGTTACTGGTCACTGGCCTGTCTGATGAATTTAGGGCCACGTGTTCAATGGAGGGTACAAGGGCTGCCCTCAGAAGCCCCAAATTGGTATGCGGTTAATGCTTCTGTAGTGCTTACACACATAAGCAGCCAGTTTACACACATTAATACAGGTTTACTCAAGAAGAACTAAGCTTCCTTTCTTTCCACCTCTAAACAGAAAGGCAGTGACAGAGATCAAGCCTATGCTGGCTCAAAGCAACATGCCTATGTCAGATGTGAACATTACCACTCAGTTATTTCTTGCATGCTACCATTAAATGATTAATCTCAGCAACACAGAGATTTCAGTCTTCCTCAGTATACTTCATATCCTCCAGTTGTGGTGTGTGAAAGGGCATCTGGATTGTACTAGAGTGATGCTCATTTCATTTTAAAGTCTGCTTATCTCTTGTTATTATGGAACACACTCTCAGCCGAGGGGGAGCTTTCTCTAATGTCTTGGAGATGGCCCCTCCAGATTCCTGACCAGAACTTTGGCGCATCCTCAGAAGAGGCTGCCACAGGAAACCATTCCCAGGTTTTACATTAAGCCCAGTGCCTGCTGGGACAGGGTCAGCTGCAGGTGGGGTCAGCACTGTGAGAAAACTCATACAGCGTGGACACGAATAAAGCTCAGTCATGTAACTTACTCTGGAGCTCTGCCCCAGTATCTTGATTTAAGGAGTCCACAGTCACACAAGGATTCCCTCTTTCTGCACTGAGCAGCTGGTTAATTAATGTTTGCAAAGTGGTTTGACAATTTAAAATGCCAAGGCTGGCCTTGAGCAAAAGGAAAGTGAGTGACTGCTTGAGGCCACTGCAGGCTCTGCCAACTGTAGGTCAGCCCAGCCCTGTCTCCTCCTCCAGCAGTGCGACCAACCGGAAGGGGAGGAAAAAACTCCCTGCTAGAAATCCCTTCTGGCAGCACAGCCAAGGAATGGGGTCAATGGGGTGAGGTGCAAATCATGACCCTCCTGTTTCCACCAGCAGCTGTGGGCACCATGGATGTATTTAGTGCAGTTTTTACTACTCTACCCAGCAAAGCTCTGAGTGTCCTTGGCAATCTTTTAAAAATACACTCATGAATAAACAGAGGTGGCAACTACCCTAAGATCAGATACTCCATCAGCCACCCAGGTATGGCAACATTTAGTGTAGCTTTCCCTTCCTGGAGTATCCCCACCAGAGTCCCACACCACTGCTGCTGAGCCCTGCCCATAGGATGACTAGATGTTCCGATTTTATAGAGATAGTCCCTGATGTTCGGGGCTTTTTCTTATATAGGTGCCTATTACCCCCCAACCCTCCTGATTTTTCACACTTGCTGTCTGGTCACCCTACCTGCCCATCTCCTTAGAAGTGATGGGAAAAAAGATGGGCCTTGCAGAATGTCCTGAAGATTAACAAACATGAGCCAAACCAAGGGGGGAAGTGAGCCCCAAAGGAGGGGGCCCTAAGAGAGAACATCCTTCCAGCATGCTCCCCACTTATATCAAAGAGGGTCCAGCACAAGATGCCTTCACTGACCATCACTATGTCAGTATATCATGGGGAGACAGGTGGTCTCTGAGGCTATGTCCACACCAGACTTCTGCCAGCACAGCTGTGTTAGTCAGGAGTATGAAGAGGTGTGATCCCTCACTGACAGCTGTGCCAGCAGAAGCCCCTAGTGTAGACACTGTTATAGTGGCAAAACTTCACTTCTGTTGTTATAGCGTGTTTCACCCATGTGGGTGGCATTGCTGTACTGGAACAAAGTGCAGCTTTGTTGGTATAGCTACATTCACCCTGGGAGTGCTTTGCTGGCACAATATACTGGTAGAACGCTCCTAGTGCAAACATCGCCTAAGTTAGCTAGGAAAGTGCACTGTGGGATGTCCAATACTGCAGAGATATGGGATGAGAGAGGTCTTGATTCACTGGTTACAGCAGTATGATTGGAGTGCCCCTCCACACAGCAAAATACTTTCCCTAAAGTTCCTGGATGTTCAATTCCAGACTTTGGTCAGCTGTAAAAATCTGACCTGGGTCTGAGATCAGATTGTTTCTGCTCGTTCATTAAAATAGCCACTAGCACAATTGTCACAGATAGTCTCTGCTGTAGGTCTGTCTCATTATATTTACTTATTTTCTTTTCAAAAGGGCTGTCCCAGCCAAAACTGACTGCCCTGAAAACAGAATTAAAGGAGGGTGAAGTTGTGACTTTACGGTGTGAAGAACCAGAAGAAAAGCCTCCCTTCATTTTCGTGTTCAAAAAACTATTGCCCAGTCAACTGCCACAAGTGAAAAAGAAGCAAGAATTAAAAGAAAACTTTGCATCTGTTGAATTTCCTGTTGAAGAGGGGGATCGAATATTGCGTTTTCAATGTATTGCCCAGGTTAATTCAGCAGTCGGTTCTGAAACGTCAGAGCCCAGTAACGTGACACTTGTTACAGTTGTGGGTAAGTTGCTTGGGCCTGGTCTATTCTATAGAGTTAGGCTGACGCAAGGCAGCTTATGTCAACCTAACTATGTAAGTGTCTACACTAAAATTTCGCTCCCGTTGATGTAATAATTCCACCTCCGTGAGAGGCATAGAGTCAACGGCATAGAGTCAATGTAGTTAGGTCAATACAGTGTCAGTGTAGACACTGCGTTGCTTACATCGACAGTTGCTGGCTTTCAGAAACTTCCCACAATGCCCCACACTGACAGTTCAATCGGTGCAGGCGCTCCTGGTGAGGACATGCCCCGCTGACACAAGCAGCAAAGTGCTGACATGCGCAAGTGATGTAATTACTGTGGCAGCTGTATGTTGACATAAGTTAAGTCGACTTAATTTTGTTGTGTAGACATGCCCTTAGTTTGTGCCCTTACATTTCTTTGCTTGTGTCACAGGGTGACTGGCCCCTGTAAGAGGCCAGGGAGGGGCAGGGGAGAGCTGCTTGAGAATAGACTGAGGACATGTCTGCATTTTGAGGTGGGGATGTGGTTTCCAGGTTGAGGAGACATTTGCATGCTAGCTCTGATTGAGCTAGTGTGCTAAAAACAGAGCATAGCCATGACAGTTCAAGTGGTGGGAAGGGCTAGCCGCCCCCAGTACATATCCACCCAGAACCATAGGTACGTCCTTGGGGCAGTAGCCCCTCCCACTGCTTGTGGCACTGTGGCTATTTTTAGGATGCTTGTGCAAGTATGTCTCCTTGATCTGGAAATCACACCCTCAGCTTGAAGTGTAGATGTACCCTGAGAGGGTCAGGAAGGGGCAGGTGAATGCTGCCTGAGAACAGAGGAGAGACCGACAGCAGCAGCAAGTGGCCAGAGGGAAAGAACTGCAGGAGACCAGAAGGAGAGTCGTAACTATTAGTTGTTGGTGATGAATTGTGAGGAAAGCCGTTGGGAGGACTGGCTAGAGTTGGGGAACCCTGCCGAGTTTCAGGAAGGCTTGTGCAGAGGCCCAAGGAATGAGGAGAAGAACCACTCGGTCAGTATAAGCTGGACCCAGAAGCAAGGGGTTGACTCTGGAGCGAGGGCCCCAGGAGCAGGGGTAGGACTCACAAAAGGAGGCCTGAGGAGTGGAACACTGTGGGGAGCCCTCTTGCAGGAGACCTGACTTGGGGCTACAAAAGCCTTGTGGGGGAGAAGCGGGTGTTAGGTCTCTCAGGTAGATGCTTGGAGAGTGGCTAAAGGAGCTGGGACAGAGAATGACTCTTGGGTGGGCGACCTGGGAACAGTGACCTTTGGGACTGAAGAGCTGCTGCCTTGTAACCTGTTTTACTGTGTGGTTTTGAGAGGAATTGTTTTTACTACAAGGGATCCGTTGATTGTGACACTTTATATGGAAAAAATGGTTTGAATTTGCCACAGAGAGAGACAATATTCCTTTGCACGGGTAGATGAAGGGGACACTGAGGTAGATTGTGGCTGTGCATCACCGCGCTTGTCCGCAGGAGGGCACCTCTGTCGGGGTTCCCTGTAACCGCTTGTAATTCTTATAATTTGTTGTTTGCCTGAAACATGGAGATCTTGAAATGGTGATATCATTGTTTTTAGTTAAAAACATAGTCCCCTGTGTGACTGTATGAGAATGCTGCAGTATTTGTAAGAGACAGAGCAGATCTGTTTCTTGGCTTACTGGAGGGAAGATAGGTGTGAACTAAAACCCTGGATCCATACGCCCCCTAATGTCATCAGTGTTCAGGATCCAAATCCAAATGTTGTGTCATCAGGGTTAGATTCTAACGTGTTTTGATCTGTGCTGTTAGGTTAGCTGATTACTATGTTGCCCACCCATCACTCTAGTTGAAGTTGTGGGTGCTCAGTAACTTGCAGGACTGGTCCCCAAGAGAAATGTAAGTCTTGATTCATATACAGCACATACATCTGTGTACAACTCTGTACACCATTTGTTATGGTCATTAGCAAAGATGATGGAAAATTGCAGGATCAAAAATTATTGGAGTCTTTCTGCAACTGTAGCTGGGTTCTCTTAAAATCTAAGCTTCAATTTAAAATAAAAAGATTGTTGGCAGAGCTTTCACCATGTGAACTGATGCATTGCTTCCTGTTAATGCAGCTCTGCAGAAAAGGGTATCTAGCCAAACAATAGCAGCAGCAAAGATATGAATTCCTCACTGACCCAAACAAATATTTTCTTTTAAAAAAGAGAAGGTTGATGTCACAATGGCTTTATATTTATTGCCTTTCAGAACCGTTTTCACATCCTAAACTGACATCCAAGTCCCCACGGAACGTTACAGAGGGAGACAAAATTGACATTGTGTGCACAACAATTCTAGCCCGGGAATATGAAATTGAAATCCTCATCCAGAAAGACAGAAGAATACTGAACAGTGCACGCGGTCAGAATTCTCTGACCTACTCTGCAATAGCCACAGTAGAGAACAATGGCAATTACACGTGCAAAGTGGAACTGGGGAGAGTGTCCAAAACCACCAGCATGCACATAGTTGTGGAAGGTAGGAGCACTGTTAATTCTAGATCGCTCTTAGCTTAGGAGGGTGACACTCGCACCTGGAAGAATTCCTGAGTTCTAATCCTGGCTGACACTGAGACTCAAAGGTATTTAGGTGTCTAACTCCCACTGATTTTAATTGGAGATAGGCACCTAGATAACATTGAGGACCTGGGCCTGACCACTGCTTGTCCGTCAGCAAAGATCACATTTGTACTACAAGGTGACCAAGTTAACTTAGGGCTGTGGGGGGAAAGAGTGATTTTTTAAAAAAATCCTGATTATAAAGTGGTTTGGTCTCATCCACAATGGCAGGAGCAGCCAGTGTTAGAGAAGGGCCAAAGTCCAGCCATGATAAATCCACCAAGTTTTGAATGTAGGCTGTTCTATAGTTTATATGGACCCTTATCCTCTCTGTCCTTCAGTTTGCTCCAGTGGTAGCATGAGGATGGTCATATTTTTCTGGGATGTTAATAAAGTACTCTGGAAACGTAAAGTGCTATACCAGTAGAAGGTACTGATAAATCCATGGCCACCCGGCATTTCATGGTTATCATTAAACTGCAATCCATGGCCATTTGGAACTTCACAGTGACAATGGGGTTAAACATCCATCCGCTCCAAATGCACAGTGCTCTATTAAAGGAGAATCTTCTTACACAGCTTGCAGTGTAAAGTCTATGACTTGCAGTTGAGCAATTCTCATTTCATCCAGTAGAGGACAGTGGTGCCACACACAAGTTGGGTCATTGCTTGAGTTATTGTTGTTTTTTCTTATTATGTTATAATGAATGAGGGTTCCCTAGGGTTTTAATCATGTAATATGCAGAATAGCCATACAGCCACATGGCCGGCATGCGCAGATTGGTTGAATATCTATTTTATTTAATCCATTTAATCTAGGCTCCTATGTCACCAACCTTCACGGTAGTATTTCTCTGCTCGGTTCTTTTAAAATAATTCTCCTTCTGGCTTAAGACAAGGGCAGGTGAGCCTTTTTGGATAAAGTAAGAACCAGACCTGGACCTTCACCAGGAACTCAAACTGAACTATTTTCATGGGGGTTCAGAAAAAGCTTTTGGCCATTTCACTATTGTCCATTTTCATATGCACTCCTTGGCTGGAGCTATGTCTGCAAACAAAAGTGCTAAAATACCATGAGAGAGGCTGTTTCTGCCAATTTACAGTCTGGCCGGGACCCCCCCCCCCCCCCGAAGAAATCTGACATCAGAACCTTTTCTTGTGATACTTCCAACCTAAATTGTAGGTTGGAGATTAATCTACCCACATTAATTCTTGGATTTCATGTAGTGCTGACATCTGCTTTGGCTAACTGGTGGGGGAGTATGTCATGTCCATTCTTCAATGTGTTTGTGTGTCTCTGCTGCCTCATCCTGGAAGGGACATCAGACCTGCTCAAGGATTTTGAGATTGTGTTTCTCTTTAGTGGTCAGAGAGTCACAGAGAATATAAACATCAGCATTACCACAGCTCTTGGAGATACTCCTTTGGCTTGAGTAGTTGTAGCGTGTGTTTTTGGAGCTGAAGGTCCTGGTTCTACCCCCCTTGCTGTATATGCGTGATTCATTTAGCAGCTGTTGTGTCCATTGCTCGTGGCCACAGATTTGTTGTGCCTTGTAAAGGAGTACTGTCCTCTTAAGGCCAGAGGAGGTAATTACTCTGTTCTTTATGTCCAGGGAAGCAACTGAAGCAGCCGTAGGGAGAGAGGAAGGTGGTCCCAAGGAGCAGTCAGTGCCTGAAAGGGAGGGACCATCGTTCCTTTAAGCCTTGTAAAGTGGGAGAGGCAAGGCTCCCTTCTCTCCCAGCTAGCAGAGACCGGTGTTTTGGGGTTGTTAGACCCACCTGGGGAAGACCAAGAGCCTGACTCTGGCTGGAGGGTGACTCAAAAGGAGGCTCCAAGGCCAGTCAAGGGAGAAGCTGGCTGAAGGAGGAGTTGGTGAGGGGGGAAGAGCTCAGCCTGGACAGAGCTCTAGGAATTAGGGCTGGGAAACCACTGAACCAGAGCGGAGAGTCCTACAGGCTAGGCAGGCCAGGGCTGGAACAAAGTCCCAGGAAGGAGACTCTAACCTTGAGAGGTGAGCAGAAAAGGGCCTTTTTGGGAGCTGAATTATATTGAGAGGGATATTACTTCAAACACCTTGACTATGACTGGATTATTCTGGGAAACTGAAGCAGGGTGCCTGCAGGGCCACCCCAGGCCACAAAAGAGGGGCCCTGGGATGGCAATAGACTATGTATCATTACCAAGCTGGTGGATAAAAATAGCTAATAGACCACAAACAATTCCTCACTTCATTGTGTCCTTCCCCCTTAGGGTGACCAGACGGCAAGTGTGAAAAATCGGGATGGGGGTGGGGGTTAATAGGCACCTATATAAGACAAAGCACCAAATATCAGGACTGTCCCTATAAAATCAGGACATCTAGTCACCCTATTCCCCCTGGGTAGTCTGGGAAATGTAGCTACTTTGCCCTTATGCACAACCTGAATTAATTCTATCCATTGTCTATATTTTTGGCAGAGTTGTTTGCCAAGCCAATATTGACTCCTTCTTTGACTGACCTAGATGAAAATCAGAGGTTAAGCCTGTGGTGCCATATTAATGGCTCTCCTAAAGCAAACTTCTCTATCATAAAGAGACCTCCAGAGAACGGCGTCTTGTTGAAAACTTCCAGCAACTTCACTATTCAAGCCCAGGTGAATGACACCGGGTCCTATGTTTGTAGGGCTGAGATAAAAGGGATCATCAAGGAGAGTAACCCTGTCCAGATAACTGTTTACGGTGAGTTGATAAGGAGATATAAGGGCCCAGTCCTGCAAAACACTTGAGCACCTCAGTAGTCCAGTGGTTTGCAGAATCAGACTGTAACCCCTGAATTAACATGGTGTCTCTGCTGTTTGCAAACAGCAAGTAACCTTCTGTGCGACTTTCTTGTAGTCCCTAGACCAGGGGTAGGCAAACTACGGCATGGTGGCTGCATTCAGCCCTCCAGATGTTTTAATCCGTCCCTCGAGCTCCTGCTGGGGAGCGGGGTCTGGGGCTTGTCCCGTTCTGGCACTCCAGTCAGGGAGCAGGTCAGGGGCTTGCCTCACTCCGCGTGACTCCCAGAAGCAGCAGCATGTCCCACCTCCAGCTCCTATGTGTAGGGGCAGCCAGGGGGCTTTGCACACTGCCCCCACCACATATGCCACTGCTTCTGCGAGCTGCTTGAGGTAAGCGCCGCCCAGAGCCTGCACCCCTGACCCCCTCTGCGCCCCAACCCCCTGTCCCAGCCCTGATCCCCCTCCCACCCGCCAAACCCCTCGGTCCCAGCCCAGAGCACCCTCCTGCACCCCCAACCCCTCATCCCCAGCCCCACCCCAGAGCCTGCACCCCCAGCTGGAGCCCTCACCCCCCCCCCCCCGCACCCGAACCCTATGCCCCAGCCTGGAGCCCCCTCCTGCACCCTGAACTCCTCATTTCTGACCCCAGCTGGAGCCCACATCCCAACCCCAATTTTGTGAGCATTCATGGCCCGCCATACAATTTCCATACCCAGATGTGGCCCTTGGGCCAAAAAGTTTGCCCACCTCTGCTCTAGACATACAGCACTAGTTCTGTACTGATGCAAACTGGTTCACTTTTTCCAGGGCCAGCCATAAGTGGAGAAGGAAATTAGCATGTCTTCCCATTTCCATGCCCTGTCACTCCCTTCAAAGGTTTGCTGCATCCCTTTCCCAATGACCTTCCCCTCTATCCTACCTCATGTTACCTTTCTCAGTAGCTAGACATACTTTGCACACCTTTTCAGTCACCAATTTTTATCTGAAACTCCATCAGCTTCTGCTTTTATTTAAAAAGAAAAGGAGTACTTGTGGCACCTTAGAGACTAACCAATTTATTTGAGCATAAGCTTTCGTGAGCTACAGCTCACTTCATCGGATGCATACTGTGGAAAGTGTAGAAGATCTTTTTATATACACACAAAGCATGAAAAAATACCTCCCCCCACCCCACTCTCCTGCTGGTAATAGCTTATCTAAAGTGATCACTCTCCTTACAATGTGTATGATAATCAAGTTGGGCCATTTCCAGCATAAATAAATTGGTTAGTCTCTAAGGTGCCACAAGTACTCCTTTTCTTTTTGCGAATACAGACTAACATGGCTGTTACTCTGAAACCTGCTTTTATTTAGTTCCCCCCACCCCCAATCTCAGTAGGAGGCAGAAGTTATCTTGGTCATGGAGGACTGCACCATAGAGAAATCAAGTTGTTTGCTAGCAATACACCCATGCAGCCAATGTGGGTACCTTTCTTTATCCCTTGGAACAAAAGTATAAGCAATCTGTGGATGCTAAATAGGTAGCATATGTTTTACATATCATGTATAAATTAATATGGCAGTCTTTAGTTAACTACTGGTAGTAGACTTACCCCTGATACAACTTCTTCAATAACAGTTTTTTCTCCTTTTAGCTCCAGTCTCTGAGCCAGTTCTTTCTGTTGCCAACTCATCCACGGAGATGGTGTTAGGGGAGACCCTACTCCTACGCTGTCAATCCATGTCTGGAACTCCACCTATAAACTATACGCTCTTCAGAGGAAACAGACTTATTCACACCATCACAGTATTTAATAATACATATGCTGAATTCAGGGACAGACAAACTAAATTAAATAATCTGAGAGAATACAGATGCGAAGCTAGCAACCGTCACTCCCATGCGAAGAGAAGTAGCTACAAGATGAACATCACGGTGATAGGTAAGCCCAACTAACTGTCCAGCTGCTGCTGTTGAGGAAGTTAGATGAGTGAGGATTTTAATTTTGAAAATGTCTGTAATAGCGTGTGGTGGACTGAGCAGACTGGACGGACGTTTATATTAAACCTTTTTTTCAGACAAATTATAAAATACTTGAGGATCTGAACCTCAGACCACTTTGTGGTGGTCTACAAGGCAAAAATTCTACTAGTAAGCTGGATCAAATCAACCAGAGCCACTTTTATTTTAATGGAAAAATACTCTTCACATGTTAGCTGTGACTTTTAAATCTCCTTATTGAATTCAGGCTTACTGCAAAAACAAAATGACTTGTTCTTGAGTCTTTGAAACTATAAATATGGGTCCAGTCCTGTGTTTCTTACTCATTGGAATAGTCCCACTGAAGTTAATGAATAAGAGCTGGAGGATCAGGCCCAACTTTTGTACCTTTTTGAGGCAGCGTGAATTAAATGTATTTTTACATATACAGAACTGTTCTCATGGTGGCCCTTGACAATGACAGTGCATGTTAGCTCCAGTGTCCTAGTGAAATGCCTATGTAATTGCAACATTCCCCAGAGTACAGTCTGGACAGTTGAACAGCTGTGTCCTCTCAGCCCTCCAACATGGGTGCCTTTCACACTGCTTTTCTGTGAGAACAACCACTCCTGGCCTGTTCATATACTGCCTTTAACGTGCAAAATCACTCCCAGCTGAATGATATAACTGCTTCAGTAGGGGCTGGCTAGAACTATGTTGCAGAGTAACACTAGCAAATTCCCTGTCCCAAACTTGTCCCCCAGAAGTGTGCATCTTGTACTGCCCAGCTGTTTCCTTCTGTGCAGTACAAGCTCATAGAAAGTCAGTCATCTCATTGATAGAAAATATGCAAGTGGAGGTTTCAAGCACTTCAATCCAAACACACACTGGTTTAGATAAAACAATAGAACAAGTTTATTAACTCCAGAAAGGTAGACGTTAAGTGATTACAAGCAATGAGGCATAAAAGTCAGAACTGGTTACTGTAACAATGCTGCCTCTGGCGGGACACAACTGAGCGTATGCATTCAGGACAAATTGCTTAGAGCAGGGCAGTCACAGCCCAAAGCTGGGTGTCTTTTATTATTAAGGCACACCAAACCAGCCAAACAGAGAGGACTTCAGTTTTGCCCCAGTGGCTAACCAGAAGTCATACAAGCAATTGCCTTAGACACTCCAGTTTCCCAGTATCACCACCAGCACCGCTCCTTATGGGGATGAATGGTTATGAAAACCAATACCCCAGGAAAAGAAAAAAGCTTCTCCCGATCCCAAAGGACCAAGTCCCAGACCCAGGTCAATATACAAGTCAGATCTTACCCACTAATTATGCTGTTGCCAATCTTTTAGAATCTAAAATCTAAAGGTTTATTCATAAAAAGAAAGAAATATAGAAGAGAGCTAAAATTGGTTAAATGGAATCTATTACATACAGTAATGGCAAAGTTCTTGGTTCAGGCTTGTAGCAGTGATGGAATAAACTGCAAGTTCAAATCAAGTCTCTGGAGTACATCTACATCCAATGAAGTGAGCTGTAGCTCACGAAAGCTTATGCTCAAATAAATTTGTTAGTCTCTAAGGTGCCACAAGTACTCCTTTTCTTTTTGCGAATACAGACTAACACGGCTGCTACTCTGAGATTTGGGTGGGTCATTCAGTCCTTTGTTCAGAGCTTCAGTGTAGCAAAGTTCCTCCAGAGGTAAGAAGCAGGACTGAAGACAAAATGGAGGGGTTTCCAGGGCCATTTACATCCTCTGCCATGTGGAAGGACACCCCTTTGTTCTTACTGTGGAAAATCACAGCAGCAAGATGGCGTTTAAGTCACATGGGCAAGTCACATGTCCATGCATGACTCAGTTCTTTACAGGGAGAATGGCCATGGTTCACATGCTACCTTGAACGTTCCCAGGAAGACTTCTCATGTGGATTGGAGTCTCCCAAGGTTCATTCATCAGTTAAGTGTTTCTTGATTGGACACTTAATCTACAAATTCCTTTTTCAAGACGCTGACCAAATGCTTCACTGAGGCTACTTAAAATCAAACACATTGAGATACAAGTACATAGCCAATATGCATAACTTCAAATACAAAAATGATACACACACACACAGACAGCATAATCATAACCAGCAAATCATAACCTTGTCATAGACACCTCACTCGACAACCTTTGTACAATATTTGCTGCAAATATATAACAGTGGTTGCAGCAGTGATCTGTACGGTTACAGTTCATATCAATAACTGTTGACAAAGAAATGAAAGGTAAAACACAAGATAATACTGAACTTAACAAACTAAATGAATTAAAAGCAAAGGTTTTTCTCACCACATGCTTTTGCTGGCTGAACTCCTTCAGCCAGGACCACTACCCCAGTTCACTGATGTTTCCTTCATCTTTCATACGTTGATACTATGGGTGGTGGGTATCAAAGACAGCGGTAGACTGTGCCTCCCCAAACAGCCTTGTGTGGCCCCATCCACATTCCGCCCTCAGACCCTTTCCTGCTTCCCAGGCTCTGCTGTGGGAGGCTCTTCCTCCTGTGACTGGGGCCCCAGGCTGCGGCCGGGGGTGCTAATGGGAGCCAACCTGCACTCCGGAGCTGGGGGAGGGAGGCTAGGCTGCCTGCCCGGCACTCTGGGGCTGGAGGGAGGGCCGTGCCACCCGCTCACCTGCCTGGAATTCCAGGGCTGGGGCACTCAGCAGCCTGGGGGTGTGAGGTGGGGGCTGACTGCCACACTGGGAATGGGGGGACTCTGGGCTCTGGTGGGAGGGATGGGGCCTTGGGCAGAAGGGGTGGTCCCGGCTGGGGGCTAGCCTCCCCGAGCCTGGGGTTCATCCATTGCCCATGGTTGATACCATAAGTAGAGATGAGAGGTGATTTGTGTCCTCTGTTCCCCCTTCTTAAAGCATTTCTCTTCTTTGAGAATCACCTCCAGCTGGGGTTCAGGGGACAGCAAGTCTGTCTGGGAGGGGAACCTCCAGCTGTTTATTTGCCAATATGTAAATTTCTCTCTTACGCCCTTCTTCCTGCTAAAGAATGGCTGCTGAAGCGGGTGATAGTCTATTTGATTATGCTGACACATGGCTGTGGTGCCTTTTGTATGAGGAACTGGTTTCAGCTGCTTCCCCAGAATTGGAATATTCCTTCGTAACATCATACAATAGAATCTTATAGCTTTATATACAATGTTGCTGCACATATTTTACCAGGACAATAATGATCAGTGAATTATGAGTTTTCAAATGATACCTCCCAAGGCATACTTTGTAAAAAAATTATCCTACTTGTGTAAAATGGTGAACATAATGGTACAGTCTGTCACAGTAATACATTTAGATCTTCAGTTTTAATAGTTTAATAATTCCACCACCATAGCTGCCTTTAGTCCTGATGTTCAGAGCTGCTGAGCACCTACAATTCCAGTTGAGTTTTAATAGGAACTGCAGGTGCTGAGTAGTTCTGAAAACCAGGTCTATTATCCTTGTTTATTATGTCATATTAGCAACTAGGGGTTATTGTGCTAAGCACTGGACAAACATAGGCCCTGATCCTCCAAACATGTATGCATGTGTTTAAAGTTAAGCATGTGAGTAGTCCCAGTGACTTCATGTGCTTAAAGTTAATCACAGTAACAATCTTTACAGTACTGGGGCCATAGAGGCAGAAATGTCCCTGCCTTGAAGAGCTTGCAATAAGAAGGCAAGCAGAATATGAGCCATGCAGGAAAGGGAGACAATCAGCAATATATAATCTTATTAAAGGGGGAACTGGTAATGATCCCGGTATTTAGGTTGCCTAACGCTTGCCCCATTGTAAAGAATTCTTGCAACTTTTTGAGACTTGTTGCTTGGTTGCAGCAGACCATTGATATTCAACAGGGAGAATGCCCATGGGGTACAGAAGTGCCTTTTCATTGTCCTGTGAAATTCTATTCACTTTTGAAGAGACACTTACAAACTGTTTTAAAAAATCATGATTTTCCTCCTCTCACTGGTGTTCCTCAGGAAAACATTGGCAGCCTGTCAACCTAATAATGGAACACGGGAGCGTTCTAAAGGGGATTACCTGGCTGCCAGAGGAGCAGCAGAAATTTGTTTTGGGAATGCTCAGGAGCTGCCAAAGCAGCTGTAATAGGGGTAAGCAGAAGAGAGCTGGGCTAGATTTTTTTCTCCCCCTGGACCTGGCACATTGCCCCAGCTGCCCACTTCTGCCTCCATCCCCAGGAGGACTTGGTGCTGGTGCTCCCTGCAGTTCCCAAGATGGGGGAGGAAGGAGGAGAGGGGGGTCAGGCTTTTCTCAGCCACCTCCACCCCCCCGCAGACACACCAACATGGCCCCAGTAGTCCATTCCCCTTCTGTGGGCTCAGAGGTGGGTAGGCACTCTCCCAGAGATAGGGGAAGAGAGAGACAGGATGGGCTTGGCTGACCCTCCCTCACAGTTCAGCACCAGGACTGGTCATCCAGCCTTCCCCTCACAAATAGCAGCAGCTTTCTTCAGCTGCCTGCTCACATCCATAGCTCAAGTGGCAGCAATCTGTACTGCAGGGCTGAAGGTTCAGGATGCAAACCTTGTTGATGATGCATGCTGGTGCAGCTGTTACAGTTGCACATGATAGTATTTTTTAAAAAAACTTTTTCCTTTAAGGAAAAACTGGTGGGGGGAGCGCTTTTTTTCCCTTCGTGTTTTGTTAAAAGAACATTATTAAGGTTGCAAAGTCAAACACTCAAAAGTTAGGACATGCCAGAATTAAGGTTGCCTGGGTAACCTTAATTCATCCCCCTTGTCCATATGTATTATGATACAGTCTTTAATGCCATCCTGTGCTACTTTTTTCTACAAAAACCCTGCCTCATTCAGTGGGCCTGATCTGGAGATGAATTAGGGCTGTGTAGTGAATGAGATGGCTGTTCTTATTTGTTTCAGAAATGTGTGTAGTGAATGAGGCAGGGAACTGC